CTTGCCTCTTCGGAAAGCCCCGGACGCCGCTCGAAACCTATGGCCGATCCTTGCCAGACGATGCAGACGCCGCTGGGCGTTGCACTACACGTAGACTGTAGTTCTGCGAGCACAAAGTCTGTCGGTCTTATGTTTTTTCTGAGGCAGCTCCGATGCTCTTCCCCATGTACACCGTAGCTGCGGATGTGCTGCTGAAGATGACGACGGTCGAGCCCCACGAAAAGTTAAAGGCCGGAAGCCACATAGTAGAAAAAGGATGTGTCATTGAGGTTCCGGAAACGGTTGTTTACCATCTCTAAACCCTAAGCACTAAGCCCTAAACCCTGCGCCCTCAGGGCCCCTCCTTAAACAGGGTGGCGTACTTGGAGGATCATGGGACTTAGTAACTACGGTTAAAAATAAGATAACTATAGTTATAAGCAATTATAACCCCAATTAAGGTAGTTATAACCTTCCTTACTAATTCCCATGATCCTCGAAGTACTCTAGTGACTCTAGTGCCTGGGGAAAGTCCCAACTTATAGTTTAGGTTTATTGGGCTTCATAAACCTTATAGCCTTATGGTTTAGGGTTTAGGGTTTAGGGTGGTTTAGGGTTTAGGGTTTAGGGTTTAACCCTAGAGTGTGCTCCGGCTGGCGGGTGGCTGACTTCTTCCACAACATGCAGGTACCCCTATAGTACTTGTTTCTGGCAGCGGGAGTGAGACATATATATGTATATATATATATATATACGTATGTATACTTTCTGGTGGACAAGGTTATTCTGTTAGGCCATGGTTTTTGGTTTGACTAGGTTTTAGATTTGACAAAGTGGTCTGCCAGACACTTCTTTCTGTTAGGCAGGGAGTTCTGGCGAGACAAGGGATTTTGTTAGACAAAAGGATTAGGACAAACATTTTTTGGCTTGGTGCAGCAAAGATATATATATATATATTTATATTTATATTGTACATAAAAAGATATATATATATATATATATGTATATATATATATATATATATAAAGACTTTATATACACAGATAGATACATATTTGCTTTAAAGCTGGGCAGGCTGAGATAGTGAGATAGCAACACAAAATTCGACGCCTGCACGCGACTAGCATGTCAGACAGTGCAGCAAACCTTCAAAAGCAGTGTAATTCGCAGCAGATTTTGAACCCGAAGCTATACCCCAAACCAAAATCCTAAACCCCAAACCTGCACCCCACAGCCCTAAACCACAAGCTTGCCGGGAAGCCCCGGAAAGTTTATCAGCACGTGGCCTTTGTTTTTCCCGGTCTCTCCAGATTTATGTTCGGGGTTTAGTGATGTGAAGAACTTAAGTCTAAGAGTGCCCTGGCCACTGGGTTGGAATAAACCCTAGACCCTGAACTCTTGATCCTACACCCGAAAACCCAAAGGACTCTAAGCCCGAAGTCCTAGTTCTGATGGTTCGGAGGCTGGAGGTGAGCTTGTTGCCTTCAGCGACGACTTGGGCAAGGCAGCGTTCGTGTCGCACCAGTGGCTTGCCAGGGACCACCCAGATCCCGATTTTAAGCAGATGCGTACATTACAGGATGCCTTGCAGCGCATCCTGAACGGCTCTGGATCTCTTTCGTTGGACTTTATTACGGAAGCCTTGGTGCAAACGGTCAAGCCTCTTCCCATGCAGGAGTTCCAGGTGCAGAAGTTGTACTTCTGGTACGACTATTTCTCATGCCCACAGCTAGAGAGTCGAATCGACAAAAAGTCGGATGCGCACCAGGCCAGCGCCATAACAAGCATCCCGGCATATATAGCCAGATGCGGTTTTTTCATTGCGCTGTGCCCTGTTCTCGACTGCCTCTTCAAGAGCACAGTGCTCACGGCAGGGACCTGGAGCAGGAGGGGGTGGTGTCGCCTAGAACGAGCAGCGCGCGAGCTGTCACCAAACAGCACATGGATTCTGATTCAAAGCGAAAGATCCATTGAAGTTGTTGGCACAGTGCTGTCCTTTCCCAGTGGCCCCGTTGGGGAAGGCGATTTCGAGATCGAGGAGGATCGACAGAAGCTGGCCCGTGTGATGCGGCAGATCTTGGTTCAGAAACTGCTTCATTGCCTGCGAGTGGGCGACCTGCCCGGATTCCGGCGCCACTTCAACCTCCAGACGGTTCACCTGCGGGGGCTGGAGATTGAGCCGATTGGTGGTCTGCTTCCCAGCTCTACGGGTGGTGATGATGCGGCGGCAGAGTTCCTGCACCAGAACGGCTTGAGGAACGTCGGTGAGGCCGACAGCACGGGGTGGTGGCCTTTGCACTACGCGGCGCTGGCCGGCAACGCAGAAATGCTGCGAGGCCTCCTGGAGAAGCGTGCAGACGTGAACCGGCGCACGTCAAAGGATGAGCCGATTTTGGGCTTCCCACCTTGGGTGTCGGCTTTGGATCTGGCCGTGTTCTACAAGCACCACGAGGCCACGCGGCTGCTTCTCACGGCAAGAGCTCACCTCCAGGGCGGAGTTGCGCCAGCTGTCTTCGTGGCGGCCAACACGAACAATGCAGAAGGAGTCCGGCTTCTGTGTGCAGCGGGTGCCAAGCCCCTGGCCCCCAACGCGTTCGGCGTCAGTTCTTTGCGAAATGCAGCAGCTTGTGCGGCTCCTGCAGCACTGGAGGAGCTGGTGATGCAGGGTCGCCCAAGTTCCCTGGATCTTTCGCGTGCGCTCTTCGATGCTGTGGCAATACGGGGTGGCTCGGCGGAGTTGACAAACCGGTTGATCGCCCTCCGGGCCGACATCGACTTTCAATTGAATTTTTCACGTGACTTCGGCACACTGGGCCGGCTGCTCTTTGTGGGGAAGTCCCTGCAGTACCAGTTTGGGCGGAAAACTGTTCTGACCACTCTGGCCTATCATCTGCAGGGCAGCACGCCGCTGATGCAGGCCATCAGGTCGGCTCAGTTCGAGGCCGCCGCAACTCTGATAGCAGCCGGCGCGAGACTGGACCTCTGCAACCGCCGGCGCTGGACTGCGGCAGATTTTGCCCGTGGCCAGTGGATTCCACGCTTTCTGCAGCTTGGTCTTGAGGGGGACCCGTCAGAGTGCCGGCGGGTCTCCTCGCTCGCTCTTGCCGATGGCTATGTCGAGGTTCTTTTTTGACCGTCTTGAGTCATAGCTTGAGGCCCAAGATGTGAAACGGGTGGGCGAAGATGCCCTCCGTAAGTCCTCTGACCTACTCGAGGAGTAAGTCAGACGACCTTGATGTACCTTTCCGAGCACATCGAATGCTTTTTGTGTGAGGATGAGATCTCCAGTCTGGTCCACTATGGAGTGTTTAAATCATCTGCGCTGAGTCACCGGGAAGCTTCAGCTTCAAGTAGTTGTGATGATGGTGGTGGTAGTGGTGGTGAAGATGATGAAGATAAGACAACGACGACGACCGTTGCCAGACACTGCTACCCACAGACGTCACTGCTCCTGCTGGTGCTGCTGCTGCTGCTGTTGCTGCTGCTTCTGGGTATGACGATAGTGATGGCGGTCATGCTGATGATTGTTGATGATCGATGATGATCCAGGATGATGATGGGGATGATGATAATGGTGGCGACTATGATGATGATGGTGATGATGATGCTGATGCTGACGTTGGCGAGACTATAGTGATGGTATTGATCAAACAAAGGTGATGCGCAATGCTCGTACTAGCACCAGTATATACCTACTCGTACTCGTACTACATGGCATCATAATTTCTACTCGGACATCTGCTATATTCGTGAAGTGCAGTACATGTATCAGCAAAAGCATCCGTACTCGCTTTAGCATCGTCTGCATTGCAGTTGCGGCATGTCTTGGCTGCCGGCGCTGGCAACTCTGGATCCAGAGCTTCTGTGGAGCGCACAGATCTCCGTAGAAGCAGTCAACAGAAAGGCATACCAGGCATTCAGTTCCCAAGCAACCCCGAAATCCGAACTGCGGAGTCCACAACTCGTTCCTTTTCTGGGACACTGGCTTAGGCTCTGGCCGTTTTTCCGTTTCACTGCGTCGTCCATCGCGACTTGAGCTCATGTCCTCTTGCCTCTTCGGAAAGCCCCGGACGGCGCTCGAAACCTATGGCCGATCCTTGCCAGACGATGCAGACGCCGCTGGGCGTTGCACTACACGTAGACTGTAGTTCTGCAAGCACGAAGTCTGTCGGTCTTACGCTTTTTCTGAGGCAGCTCCGATGCTCTTCCCCATGTACACCGTAGCTGCGGATGTGCTGCTGAAGATGACGACGGTCGAGCCCCACGAAAAGTTAAAGGCCGGAAGCCACATAGTAGAAAAAGGATGCGTCATTGAGGCTTCCCTACAAACCCTAAACCCTAAGCCCGAAGCCTTAAACCCTAAGCCCTAAGCCTTCAACCCTAAGCCCCAAACCCTGGACTCGACCTTCAACCCAAAGCCGCTTTGCATTGAAAGAGAGGGGTGGAATGCACACTGGTAAGTTATGTCCCCAGAGAACCCAATACACCACAATTAAGGAGTATACCTTAATCTGTAGGGGCCTTAAAAAAATAATTGAAGGTATATTCCTCCCTAAACCCTAAACCCTAAACCGATATTCCTTAATTAAGGGGTATTGGGTTCTCCGGGTGGAACCTTTTTGCTGGGCAACGGTAGACCCGCAACCACTGTGACGCATCTGGGTAGAATCTCCCTGACATACTGTTGATGATCGACATCCTGCAGTACCTTAAGGGTTTAGGGATTTAGGGTTTAGGGTTTAGGGCTTTAGTGCCCTAAATTATGGGAATTATGGTAGATTCCTTATTATGGGTAATGCAGGGTTTATATCATCAACCGTAGCTGCTCTCTTGTAGTACATCTTCTTCTTCACGATCGTCCAAGGGCTTTTCTCAATCCCATAAAGCCTCTACGACTCTCAGCCGGATCGTGTTTAGAACTTGAGGGGTGGCTTTAGCCTTTGCGGTTAAGGGTACAGAACTCCGGGCATCTAGGAGCTTTTCAAGGCCGCAGGGTTGAGGGATCTCGGGTTTCGTGCCGCTTCGGATGAGGGAGGTGAGCTTGTTACCCTAACTTGTAAAGTCTAAGGCCCAATCCCTCAAGGCCGAAGCCTCAGCCCTAAACCCGAAATCCGAGTTCTGATGGTTCGGAGGCTGGAGGTGAGCTTGTTGCCTTCAGCGACGACTTGGGCAAGGCAGCGTTCGTGTCGCACCAGTGGCTTTCGAAGCAACACCCAGATCCCGATTTCAAGCAGATGCGTACATTACAGAATGCCTTGCAGCGCATCCTGAACGGCTCTGGACCTCTGTCGCTGGATTGCATTACCGAAGGTGTGGTGCGAACGGCTAGGCCTCTTCTCATGCAGGAGTTCCAGGTGCAGAAGTTGTACTTCTGGTACGACTATTTCTCATGCCCGCAGCTGGAGTATGAAGCCCGTGCATCCGATAAGACAGATGACCTCCAGCAAGCCAGTGCCATCAACAGCATACCGGCCTATATAAGTGTGTGCCACTTCTTCTTCGCGCTTTGTCCGGTGCTCGACTGCCCCTTGCAGGGCAAGGTTTTAACAGCAGCGACCTGGAGCAGCAGGGGGTGGTGCCGCCTAGAACGAGCCGCACGTGAGCTGTCGCCAAACAGCACATGGATTCTGATTCAAAGCGAAAGATCCATTGAAGTTGTTGGCACAGTGCCGTCCTTTCCGAGCGGCACCGTTGGGGAAGGCGATTTCGGCATCGCAGAGGATCGGCAGAAGCTGGCTTCTGTGATGCGGAAGATCCTGATGCAGAAGCTGATTCACTGCTTGCGAGTAGGCGACCTACCCGGATTCCGCCGTCACTTCAACCTCCAGACGGTTCACTTGCGGGGGCTGGAGATCGAGCCGGTTGGCGGCTTGCTTCCCAGCTGCGAGGCCCAGGGTGATAACGATGCAGTGGCCGAGTTCCTACACCAAAACGGCTTGACTAGGATCGGCAAAGCCGACGGCGCCGGTTGGTGGCCTCTGCACTATGCGGCACTTGCAGGCAATGCAAAGGTGCTGCAAGGCCTGCTGGAGAAGCGTGCAGACATGAACCGGCGCACGTCAAAGGATGAGCCGATTTTGGGCTTCCCACCTTGGGTGTCGGCTTTGGATTTGGCCGTGCAATACAAGCACCACGAGGCCACGCGGCTTCTTCTCTCGGCGAGAGCCCACCCAGAGGGTGGAGTTTCACCGGCTGCAGTGCATGCGGCCATGGCAGACAACGCAGAAGGAATCCGGCTCTTGTGTGCGGCGGGTGCCAGGCCGCTTTCCCTCAACATTTTTTCTTTCAATGCCTTGCAATTTGCAGCATGTTATGCTGCCACTGCAGCGCTGGAGGAGCTGGTGATGCAGGGTCGCCCAGGTTCCCTGGACCTTTCGCGCGCGCTCTTCGGTGCTGCAACAGTTCGGGGCGGCTCGGCAGAGCTGGTACACCGGTTGATCGCCCTCCGGGCCGACATCGACTTTCAACTGGACATCCGACGTGACTTCAGCACACTGGGCCGGCTGCTCTTTGCGGGGAAGTCCCTGCAGTACCAGTTTGGGCGGAAAACTGTTCTGACCACTATGGCCTATCATCTGCAGGGCATCACGCCGCTGATGCAGGCCATCAGGTCGGCTCAGTTCGAGGCCGCCGCAACTCTGATAGCAGCCGGCGCGAGGCTGGACCTCCGCAACTGCCGGCGCTGGACTGCGGCAGATTTTGCCCGTGGCCAGTGGATTCCACGCTTTCTGCAGCTTGGCCTGGAGGGGGACCCGTCGGAATGTCAAAGGGTGTCGTCGCTGGCACGGGCCTATGTCGAGGTTCCTTTTTGACCGTCTTGACGCCCCAGTGAGACTCCTGACTTTCTCCAAGAGAAAGATAGGTGATCCGGTGCAGTGGTTAAGGCCGCGCGGTGCCTTTGTAAAAAGATGTTTCCCGTGCAATGCAGCCCTAATACCCCTAAACCCTGAACCCTAAACCCTGAACCCTGAACCCTGAACCCCTAAACCCTGAACCCTAAACAAAACCCATCATTCCTTTGATGGGAAACCAGCAGCTTGCCGAGGAGCTGCTTCCTCGTGGCTGTGCAGCCACTACGGCCGCTGAGAGCATTAAAAAAAAGGCGCGGGTGGGTTTAGAGTTTAGGGTTTAGGGTTTTTCTAACGTAGAGTTTGGGGTTTAGGGTTCAGGGTTTAGGGTTTAGGGTTTAGGGTTTAGGGGACTCGTATTCTTATTGTTATTTACTATCGGTGTGGTTTGTGGCTACAGTAGCAAACCCTGAGTCATGGGGTGGCTTGACCCCGCCGCGAGGTGGCACGTTTTTGCGGTATGCGTGTATTAGGAACCCCAAAAGGACGTAAGCATANNTACCTTATTGGGCTTCATTGTAAGGCTTCCCCCGGTGCCTATCATCGCCAATAGTCACTGTTCCTAGACATGTCTCTACACCAGTGCTCTGATTGTTAATGTTATTGCTGGTAGTCTTTTCTTGTTCATCTTTGTCTGTCACTGCTATCATTGCCATCGGCTGGATGCTGGTACTTCACAGGCACAGTTATTGAGACAGTTGTTCCATTGCTATCTTTATCTTTATCGTACTCGTGTCACCAAGGTCCATCTGTTCAGGGCTTTGCATGCGTGGCTCAAGGCCAGACACCGGCAGCCCACCCGAAACCCTAAACCCTA